GAAAGTAGCTGGAGGAGACGCTGCTGGAGATTCGGGCCCTCCAGGCTGAGCCAGCGGCGAACCAGGGGAAGGAGACCAGCCCAGGGCTCTCCGCATGCAGCTGTGGGACACAGAGGTGGGAAAACAGGAAAAGCAAGGGGGCACCTGCAGGCCGCCTTCCCCCAGGAAGCTTCCACCAGGGGGCGCAGGGCATGGGTCCAAGAACGGAGGCAGCGCACCTTCCTGAAACCACAGGGCCAGAGCTTCGATGGTGGTTCCCTACACTCCTACCCTAACAACTTATCTTATTATTTTTTTTTAAAAAGATTTTATTTATTTATTCATGAGAGACACAGAGAGAGACAGAGATACAGGCAGAGGGAGAAGTAGGCTCCTCGCAGGGAGCCCGATGCGGGACTCAATTCCAGGACACCCAGGTGTTCCCCTAACAATTTGTTTAAAAAGTGATGGGCAGGGAGCCCTGGGTGGCGCAGCGGTTTGGTGCCTGCCTTTGGCCCAGGGCGCGATCCTGGAGACCTAGGATCGAGTCCCACGTCGGGCTCCCTGCATGGAGCCTGCTTCTCCCTTGGCCTGTGTCTCTGCCTCTCTCTCTCTCTCTCTCTCTCTCTCTCTCTCTCTCTCTCTTTCTCTTTAGCTCATGAATAAATTTTAAAAAAGTGAGTTGTCCAGTTCTTATTAATAGCAGTGACACTAGTTTTACGTATTACTTGTAGGTGTTCATTATTAATACTTCTCTATCACATACACATCTTAAACATACATTGCATCATTGTAATCTCTGTTTTCAGTTTTCTATTTACTAAGTGGAATACATTCTTTCTTCCCCAACCCTGTAAAAATTATTCCACAGGGCTCCTGGATGGCTCAGTACGTGAAGCGTCTGCCTTTGGCTCAGGTCGTGATCTCAGGGTCCTGAGATCGAGTCCAACATTGGGCTTCCTGTTCAGAGGGGAGTCTGTTTCTCCCCCTAGCCCTCCCCCCTACTCATGCTCTCTCTCTCACTCTCTCAAATAAATAAATAAAATCTTAAAAAAACTATTCCACATACAAACTTGGCCCATATTCATATCACAGTCTTCCAATAGTAACTAAAATGGGCCTTATATATACTGTATCTCATTACAAAGGGGACTGAGATAACTAGAATACATATGAAAAGAAGGCTGAAGGGATCCCTGGGTGGCTCAGCAGTTTGGCGCCTGCCTTTGGCCCAGGGCGCGATCCTGGAGACCCGGGATCGAATCCCACATCAGGCTCCCGGTGCATGGAGCCTGCTTCTCCCTCTGCCTGTGTCTCTGCCTCTCTCTCTCTCTCTCTGTGACTATCATAAATAAAAATTTAAAAAAAAATTAAAAAAAAGAAAAGAAGGCTGAAAATCAGATAGATTAAAAAAATAAGGATTAATGAAAAAATTCACCGCAGCCAACACTGGCACAACCTTTGTTGGTGTACACACAGAATCTTCTGCATGCAGTAATCACTTTACTTCACATGTATCCAGGCAACAGTTCTGTGAGGGTGGTACTATTCCCTCTTCACAGACCAAGACACAGAGACTCAAAGGCTATTTTGTATTTTGCTCAAAAAAAAAAAAAAAAAAAAACTGGATTACAAGTTAGAAGTCAATATGGATTTTCCCACACCAGACTCCATGTTTCCCTAAACCAATAGACCTAGTTTTTCGGCCAGGCTCTATCATCCACTAGCTGTGTATGCTGAGTGAATCCCTTTTGCTCCAGACCTCTGGAGCAGGATGGGGTGAACTGGAATGAACAGGACCCACTGCAGCTCTGATCATCACTGGACTGACAGTCACCTGCCCTATTTGCAAACTGGCGGCTTGCACCTAGCAGGCTCTTGCATTTTTAACATTAGGAGTTTATTTCCAAGAAAACTAATTTTTGTGGGCATGACAACAAGGCTTTAAGTCAAACTTGTATATATATCTGGTTATAAGGTTAATCCACAGACCCTTTTACAGCCTCAGACTTAGAAGGGATGGAGAGGCCACATGGTCAAGTCCCCATATCTCAATTGTGAGGATCATTTTCTAGGTTACAGAAACATTGTAGGTTGCCTAAATATGCTTTACTGATAATCGCATTCAAGGAAATGTGTATGCAGACTCCAAAAGCAACTTTCTGATAGCAGGGAATGCAGCATATTTCGAACACTAACTGCCAAGACGACAGGAAAGCTTCAGAGGCCTCTCTCGCAGCCATCATGGGCACTGTTCTGGAAGTTTCTGCCTATTCCAACCTCCACGAGGGAAGACAGAAAATCAGAAGAGGTTTCCAAGAAGATCCCCCAATGAAAAGCAAAGCACTTAGGCAGAAATTCTAAGCCCTAAAGAACTAAAGAGGGCGGCCTTAGTGTTTCTATTAATTGATGGTGGTTCCCAGGGCCCTGAGTTTATGGTAGATAAACTCACTGGTAACCCAACAGTGCTGAGAAACACTGTGGAGCCAGACAGAGAGATTTGAACTCCAGCCCTCCTGTTTGGTGACTGTGTGACCTTGGCTAAGTCAGCCCTCTGAGTCTCAATCCTCCACTGTAAAAAGGAGACCACATGCTATGCTTCCTGGGGCTACAAGGAGGACTCACCGCTTAGGAAATGCTAGCTGTCATTCCTGGCGCTATTACTTACTAAGAGGAATGGACTTCCACTACAGTAGCAGAGAGGGATCTATTTCTGCAAAATAATTTGTTATGTGAGAATAGATTGCCAACGGTGACTGGAGAAGAAAAAAAAAACTCTTAAGCCCAGCCTTCTGGGAAAACAAACTCATGTATTAAATGATGTCTTGGCATCTTTCCTGGGCAGCTAAGCAGGGACACCTCTCTCTGTAAGTGGTGGTGCCAGAGACAGTGCAAACAGCATCCAAACTGCTGGTCCCCACAGGACTAAGAAAGTTTGGGAAAGATTCTCCCTCCCACCTACTGGACAGAGGGTGCAGCAAAGAAGAGGGTGCAGGAACTTGCCCTTAAGGAACTCACTCTTCACCCACAGCACCTGAGACATCTCTCCAAGATCAGGCAAGGAGGGTGGCTGAGAGAGCCCGTCTCCTCCTGGTTGTCCCTCAGAGGGAGGACTTGGTTAGAGACCTCCAAGGAAACCCACGACCTCTGCCATGCCCTTCGCACGCTTTCCAGGTGGAGTAAGAAACATTAGTGTGTCCAGCATCATACGCCATCTGCCATCATACACCTGCTGAAAGATTCTGACAAAGTAGGAGGACATGTTCGACTCTACTGTAAAGCTGATCATGATCTTGCTGGCTTTCTTTCAGAAAACACTTAAGATTTTTTTCTAATCCTTTTTCTCATAAGCCAACAGGTTCACCTTCCTACTTTATTCTTAAAGCCTGGAAGGAGCCAGAAAACCAGGATGCTTCAAAAGTAAGTCCTGCTTCCTGGGAATCTACAGGATGTGCATTTTTTTGTTGTTTTTTTGTTTTCAGAATTACAGGAGACTTATTTCTCCTTTCAGAGAGGAGAGTCTCTGATAAAAATCAACCTAAAACCTACTCCCAATAATAATATCCAAATGGCACTTGGAGAGGCTTGTAGTGGTCCAGGCTGAAGATTCATAAATCACTGCAGTTCCTCTACGATCATGTTATTCTGAGTTCTCACTCCCAATGCTTTAAAAGTCTCTTTTTTAAAAAGTTTATGATTCTGGGGACCCCTGGATGGCTCAGTGGCTGAGTGTCTGCCTTCGGCTCAGGTCATGATCCCGGGGTCCTGGGATCAAGTCCCACACCGGGCTCCCTGCAGAGAGCCTGCTTCTCCCTCTGCCTATGATTCTGCCCCTCTTGGCATGTGTCTCATGGAGAAATAAATAAAATCTTTTTTTAAAAAGTATGATTCTAAAAATAAAATGTATGGAAAACTTATGAAAACATGTAGCCCAGTAGATTAAGGCAAACATATGAACAGGTTGAAGAAGTCTGATCCCTAAGGGTAGTGAGAGAATCCAAAAAGTGGGGTGGCTTGAATATTAAGAACATCCCCACACCTAAAAAATACAAAATGGAATAGAATTGCTCACAGGAACATTTCAACCCACTTTTTTTTCCTTTTAAACTGGGTAATAGAAGGTCAAAGATTTGCCCTAAACCCCCAAATACATCTGTCCCCTTATATTGGAATCAAAGCCCAGTTGACAAAGCCTGAGCTGGCAAATGTACCCAAAGTAAGAATAGTTCTCCCATCTGATGGTCAGAAGGGGGCTGGAGGTGGTGCATGCAATCACTCACGTGTCCACACTCCCGCAGCTTGGTGACCCAGCCAGGGAATGCTTTCAGCACTTCTATCTCCTACCCAGCATACTCCATGATAGAAATGGTTAAATCTGAGGGAGCTTTACAGCTCTAGAAAAATGTTCCTTCCCTGACAATGCAAAATGCTTAGTTTTACCCCAGATGTTAATTTAAAAGCTCCTGATTGCACACTAAGAGCATGATTGAGGACCTTCATTCTCAGCTTAAAAAAAAAAAAAAAACCAACAAAAAAACAAAAACCCAATCTGGCACAGAATGACAGTGACCTCATTCCTTCTCTTACCTTGCTTCCATGCAAACACACAGATGATGACACTTTGCCCTCCCAGGGTGCAAATTCATCACTAAGATTACCGCCACGCAGAAGGCTGCATCCAGAACGTTCTAAACTGCTCAAAGAAACTAGGGGTGAGCCTGGAGGTGATGAGACCTCACACAGTGAGCCCCTGGTGAATCTGACTCCAGCCAGCTGGGTATTTATGCAAAATGAGAATGAAAAATGAGAAAAGTAAGATTGCCAAAATGCAAACCCATACATGCATCCTCCTTCACAGTTCCTGCAGCCAGCCTCTGGGGTCACATGGTATCACGGAACAGTGAACTTTTTTTTTTTTTTTACGCCTTTGGCATAACGGGTACACACATGTGTGCTGCACTGGTCATATGTGTGTCCATGTGTGCTCCTGACCTATCCAGTCGCTCTGGATAACCTCTTACCTGCCACTGGTTTCCTGTCTGACCAGGCACGTAAGGTGCTGGGAGGCTCCGAAGGCTGTTCTTCACAGGGGACCCCCCGAGGGGGCTTCCCACGTCCCCAGAAGAGGAATCAGCAGCCAAGGCCATGGAGTACTGCGGGTAGTTGTACAGATTGTTGTAGTAAGGAAACAGAGAAGGCTGGTAAAAGCTGCTGTAGTAGGTGGAGTCAGAGACCAGGTCAGGTGTGTTCTCCACGTGCCCTCTGCTGGTGACGGCAGGAATATCCTGGATGACCATGCGTCCCTCTAGAAAGAAAGAAAAAAAGACCATATGGTGTTAATGTGGAGATCCACAAAACTTCAGCTCTAATGGCGACCTACGGCCTTCCTCATCTGCAAAGGGGCAGAGCAAGGCACTGAATTGAGCTGCTTCCTCCTAGGGCCAAAATAAAGGACCAGTCTCTTTCTCTCTCTCTCTCTTTTTTAAGATTTTATTTATTTATTCATGAGACACAGAGAGATACAGGCAGAGGGAGAAGTAGGCTCCCTGCAAGGAGCCCATTGTAGGACTCCATCCGGAGCCCTTGGGATCACGCCCTGAGCCGAAGGCAGACGCTCAACCACTGAGCCACCCAGGCGTCGCAAGGACCAGTTTCTAAGGCTGGTATAACTCACGACACAGCTGGCAGACCCTTGCTGGTGGTTTTTACTGAGAATGACAAAAACATTAGTAACCTAAATTTGACCAGGTAGTCCTAATGTTAAGGACCCAAGTAGTCCTAATGTTAAGAAATTAGAGATCAAATCTAGCTAATTTGGCCATCCGCATCATTTTTACAACAAAATTAATCGTACTTCACTTTAAATAACATAATAGAAAAATCCCAGGGCCCTAACTATGGTAGTCACAATGATATGTCAAAGAGCCAAAGCAAAAGGCTAGGAGTTTAAGCAAACATTGTTTCTTTCACTTCCTTCCACAGCTGATACTGTATCCTTTACAAGTCTGGACAATGGTATATACTGAGGGTAGACAAACTTCTTCTGTAAAAGGTCAGTTAGTCACTATTTCAGGCTGTGAGCCATTCAACTGCAGAACGTCCAGGTCGCTGAGTGGTTGTGTTTCCAATAAAACTTTATTGACAAGCACAAGCAGTGGGCTGAAGCTGCCTGAAGGCTGTAATTTCTCAACCCTGGGTCTAGATTTTAAAACTGTGTCGATTCCAGTAAACAAGCAGACTTCTCAGTCATCTCTCCAATGGACATCCATGAAACAATGTTCAAAGAGTAGGTCCAGGTACCTGAAATGGCTGCAAGGGGTCAGGATGCCTCCTCCCAGGAAGTCTACCATCTAGGGTGAAACATGTGATGGGATTATAAATAACAGCAAGGATTATCACATAATACTGGAAGACCCATATGTTTTATGGAAATCCAAAGGCTGGAAAGATGACCTGCAGCCTAGAAAGGATCAGAGAGATCTCAGGGGGAAAACTGCACCCCAGCTGTACTTTCATGGAGAAGCAGAAAAGAGGTGAAAAGCGAACAAGAGTGCTGATAGAAGGACAGCAAGGACAAAGCAATGGGAGCAGGAATGTAGTAGAGTTGGGAAGTGCTGGGCAGGGAGGTGGGGTTGGAGAACTGGTTGGGGTGCGGGGAGGAGAGGCAGAGCTGGAGCAAGGGGTGGAGATGCATTCACCCAGCCCTCCCGACCCTGCAGGGTGTGGCAGGACCTCGGAGGATTTCACGGTCATATCTGTGTTCTGGAGCAATTTACCTGGTGGCAATCTTAGGACAAGCGAAGACACAGGAGGCCTGCAACCAGGACTGAGGAGCCTATGCCATGGACGAGGAGACGAGGAGACGTAACTCAGTAGAACTGGAGGGGCTGGCAGGACATCAGAAGGAAGAGGCAGGAGGAGGCAGGGAGGCTGACGGCGGGGGGGGGGGGGGGGAGAGGGAAAAGCCTGGTGCCAAAGGAGAGGGAGGCCGTGTTCTGCTGAATGGTGGAGACCTGGGAGGCCTATGAAGGCTACAAGCAAGGGTGAGAAAGCACGCTTCTGGCAGAGGAGGGGCGGACAGTGGAGACCCAGGAGCCCAGAAGGTTCTGGCTGCCTCTGGGGAGAGGAGGAGGGAGTTGTAACAAAAGAGTGTGTTGGGGAGAAGAGAAGGGAGCCTGGGTGCAGCCCGAGGAGAGAACAATATGTCACACAGGCCACCGCTGATGTGGATCCTGGAGCAGCCGGGGATGCCTTGTCAATCGCTGCTAAGAGATCAAGCAAATCCATTCTGGAAAAGACCAGCTGAGGACCAGGTCTTCAGGACCATGTGGCTTTTTCTAGTGGAAGGAGCTGCAACTTGCCAGAGATCGAGGAGGAAATAGCAGATGAGCCTCCAGAACAGCCAAGAACCTTCTCCTGGCTGGAATGTAGATACAGCAGGCAGGCCCGTGCCGCGGGGCTCGCTTGTGCATCCCTGTACCCAGCACACTGCTGGACACCCAGCAGTCAGCATCTGCAGCAGGGACCCATGCCGTAATGGTTTTCCAAGTAGCCAGGCATCAAAATAAATGTGAGGATGACACAGAAGCTCCAAGGAGTAATAAGGTGTTATTTCACTTTTAAACCACAGAGAAGGGTTGAGCATATGTAAGCCTGGAGAAGCCAGTGGACAGAAATTCTGCAAACAGTCGACACGTGGCCCAGAGCAGGTGCTCAGAGTGTCGGCTGGCTGAATGTGGAAGGAGAAAGAAAAAATATATAAAAATACACAAAAATATTTAAAAACATAAAATGGGGACAAGCTCCGGAAAGTATTTTCATGGCCTCATTTTTTTTTTAAGATTTTATTTATTTGAGAGAGCGAGCACAAGTCAGGGACCAGCAGTCCGGCTCCCAACTCAGGTCTCCATCCCAGGACCCTGAGATCACAACCTGAGCCAAAGGCAGACACTTTCTTTTCTTTCTTCTCTCCTTTTCCTAGATAATGAGATGAGAAATTCCAACTCCACTATTCTACACTGCACCCGGAGAAGGCACACATGCATTCTCTCCTCCTGTACTTCCCTACTTTTTCTTATTTTAAACACCAATTTCATGGCATTAACAGGTGGTTTTCAGTAGCTAATTCTTTTGTGTTTAATATTGTGTCTTCACTGTTTTCCTGATTACACATAAGCAATCCAAATTTTGCAAAAATGCCAAATTATATAGATGTTTAAATCAGAGAAGGAACAAATGACAATATGCTTTAAAAATTTTTTAATTTGAATTCCATTTAGTTAAAATACAGTGTATTATTAGTTTCGGGGGTAGAATTTAGTGATTCATTAGTTGCATAAACACCCAGCTCATGACATCATGGGTCCTCCTTAATGCCCGTCACCCAGGTACCCCATCCCCCTATTCACCTCCCCTCCAGTGACTCTCAGCTTGTTTTCTAGAATTAAGAGTCTTTTACAGTTTGCCTCCTTCTGTTTTATCTTATTTTTCCTTGCCTTCCCCCATGTTCATCTATTTTGTTTCTTAAATCCCATATGCGTGAAATCATATTATTATCTTTCTCTGCTGACTTATCTTGCTTATTAGTGTAGCACCCTCAAGTTCTATCCATGCTGTTGCAAATGGTAAGATTTCATTCTTTTTGATGGGTGAGTAATATTCTATTGTATGTATATACCACATCTTATTTATTTATGTATTTATTTATTCATGAGAGACACAGAGAGAGAGAGGCAGAGACATAGGCAGAGGGAGAAGTTCCTCCCTGTGGGGAACCTGATGCAGGACTCAATCACATAGGACCCAGGACCCTGGGATCATGACCTGAGCTGAAGGCAGATGCTCAACCACTGAGCCACCCAGGCATCCCTACACCACATTTTCTTTATCCATTCATCTGTCAATGGACATCTGGGCTCTTTTCATAATTTGTGGACTACTGTGGACACTGCTGCCATAAACACTGGGGTGCAGGTGTCCCTTCAAATCACTAGGTTTATATCTTTTTGGTAAATACCTAGTAGTGCAATTGCTAGGTCGTAAGGTAGTTTTATTTTTAACTTTCTGAGAAACCTCCATACTGTTTTCCAGAGTGGCTGCAGTTTGCATTCTCACCAACAGTGTAGAAGGATTCCCCTTTCTCTGCATCCTTGCTAACATCTGTTGTTTCCGGAGTTGTTCATTTTACCCATTCTGACTGGAGTGAGGTGGTATCTCATTGTGGTCTTGATTTGTATTTCCCCTATGCTGAGTGATGTTGAACATTTTTTCATGTTGGCTGTTGGCCATTTGTATGTCTTCTCTGAAGAAATGTCTGTTCATTTCTGGTGCCCTTTTCTTGACTGGTTTTTCGGTGTTGAGTTTGATAAGTTCTCCATAGATTTTGATACTAGCTCTTTATCGGATAGGCCGTAAATGACATATTCTTAACTGCTCAGTCACCAGCATCAGTGGGACATCCATATACAATCTCACAGACACTCAGGAAGGCATTTTTCATGCTCATCCCTAACCCTGCAGTGGGAAAAAGTGTATAACCCTCACGACCTGCCCTTTAAAAGCAATGTTTTCAATAAAGAAAAAAAAATACATTAGTAGGTAAAGAGTTAAACAGAAGCCCAAGGACACCAGCACTCTAAGATTAGGATAAAGGTTCATGAATTCCTGCATCACAACCCTAGTCAGAACCTTTTATCAGGTCTCAGTTTTATCCAGCAACAAAATGAAGTCTGTAATAATTCTCAAGGTAACAAGAGGATGGCTTGAACAAATGGCACAGTGAGCCTCAAATGAAATGCTGTATCAGGTCAGAGCAAGATTTGTTTTGCTACAGCAGACTGTAATTAGCTAATGATGCCATGGCTTTCCCACTTACCCATATTTTATTTCTATCAAATTATACTGAGCTTTTAAGAATAAATTAAGATATACATTGGAAAAGTTTTATTTCATACCAGTATTTAAATAATAAAAATCATTTGAGCTCTTTAAGAAGAGATGCCTAAATATTTCTAATCCTAAAATGTTTAAGCACTCTCAAAAAAATGACACTGTAGGGGATTCCCTGGGTGGCTCAGTGGTTTAGCACCTGCCTTTGGCCCAGGGTGCAATCCTGGAGTCCCGGGATCGAGTCCCACATCAGGCTCCCGGCATGGAGCCTGCTTCTCCCTCCTCCTGTGTCTCTGCCTCTCTCTCTCTCTCTCTCTCTCTCTCTCTCTGTCTGTCTATCATGAATAAATAAATAAACAAATCTAAAAAAAAATGACATTGTAGGGGTGCCTGGGTGGCTCAGTCACTCAGGCGTCC